AATACACCACACTCACTAGCTACTAGGGTTCCTGCTAAGCAATGCGTATAGATTAAATTTTTAAAGACGCCACAACCCCAAAAGCATTTGAAATATCCAGGTATGCTTGGCTAAGTTTCCTTTTTTCTTCTTAAGACTGACTTGACAATCTTCTTTCTTCTCCTACTACTGAAACCACTCTCTTTTCAAGTAGCCTGGGCATTTAGATTTGCAGATAGAGTTTTTCTCATTTTATGATACTGCTTAGGGCACACTAACAAATTGTTCCTTCTTTTCCTTCAATTTTTTTTTCAAAACTCCATTCATGTCACTCCTTCTCCAATGGTTGTGTTTTGGAGAGAAAAAAATCTGTGCTACTTATCACCTTCTGAGAAACATGTTTTTATCATCAACTTTTTTGGGGAAAAGAGAGTCTCATCAGCATAGTCATATATGTAGTTTGCAGATGTTAATGACAGTAGCCATAACAGATTGGAGGTTCAGGTAACATGTTCTAATCTTGACCTCAAGTCTTCAGTGTGAATTCTGTTGGATGCTATCAGCTCGATATATCAATATCTATGTGGTCAGAGATGAGATCTCAAAAATTGGAGAAAATATTTGAGGCTTTATTCAGCTGGAAGTTTTCAAAAGACAATAAATGGAATCTGATTGACCCTTCAGGACACCTAATCCTTTCCTACTGAGAAATCATATTACATGGCGGTATGAGGTCAATTCCAAAATCTGGCAACCAGATTTCAAATCCCTTCACCACTTCATAAGAGTTTCATGGTTCCATGTATCCATAACTTAAACTTAGTTATCTAAGTGATATCACTTATTTTGTGGAATGAGAAAAGTACCCAACTCACAGATCTGTTGAGAGAATGAAGTAAGGTAACATATATAAAGTGCTGAGATTCATACCTAGCGATAGAGATCCATTAGCAGTGGTGGCAGGAGTTTATAATAATGATAATTTTAGTGATATAATTTCTACTACTACTACTGTTACTTAGAAAGTTTAGAGAAAGATTTTGTGATAAGAACCCAAATGATGGGACATTGAAATGAAAACAGGAATTTAAATAACAGGTCTTACATACCCATTGGCAATGAAGAGGCTTAATTGACAAATGGGCAAGAACTGCCACCCAGCACTTTCTGCAGAGTAATGATGATCTGGGTCACTCTCTGCTCAGGAAGTGTGCTGGGCCTGTACAGATTTTCAATTTTTTGGAAGAGTTTCTGAGGGTTTGTTGTCAGTTCTCCTTTAAATTATGGTAGAATTCTGCAGTGAAGCCATCTGAGATTTTCTTTGTTGGAAGGTTTTAAATTACTGATTCACTGTCTTTCTTATTTATTGGTCTGTTGAGATTTTCTATTTCTTCATGGTTGAGTCTTGGTATTTTGTGTGTTTCTAGGAATTTATCCATTTCTTCTATTTTATCTAATTTTTGGGGGAGATATAATTGCTCATATGATTTTCTTATAATCCTTTTTAAATCTGTGGCGTCAGTTGTAAAGTCTCCTATTTCTTTATTTTTGATATTAGTTATTTGAGCCTTCTCTTCGTTTTTCTTAGTTAATCTTACTAAGGGTTAGCCAATTTTGTTAATCTTTTCAGTAAACCAACTCTTGGTTTCCTTGATTTAATCTATTTTTTTCCTATTCTCTATTTTCTTTATCACGTCTTCAATCTTTGTTATTTTCTTTTTTCAGATAATTTTGAATTTAGTTTGTTCTTCTGTTTTAGGGTTCCTTGAGGTGTAAATTTGGAGTCTTGTTTTGAGATTTTTCTTCTTTTCTAATGTACTCAATGAGTGCTATACACTTCTCTCTTAGCACTGCTTTCACTGCATCCCATAAGTTTTAGTACGCTGTGTTTTTGTTTTTGTTTGTCTCAAGGTATTTTCTAATTTCCCTTATGAGTTTTTTCTTCAACTCACTTGTTGTTTAAAGTGTGTTTTCTGTGTGTGTGTGTGTGTGTGTTGAAGATAAGCTCTGATCTAAAGTCTGTCACAAATCATCCTCTTTTTTTCTGAGGCAGACTGACTCTGGGCTAACATCTCTGCCCATCTTCCTCCATTTTATATGGGATGCTGCCATAGCATGGCTTGACAAGTGGTGCATCGGTGGGCACCTGGGATCCAAACTCTGGGCCACCACAAAGGAGCACACACACTTTAACCTCTATGCCACTGGGCCAGCCTCTAAAGTGTGTTTTTAATGTACACCTATTTGAGAATTTTGCAGTTTTCCTTCTGCTATAGATTTTTAGTTTCATTCTACTGTGATTGAAAAAGATACTTCATATGATTTCAATATATTTGAATTTGTTAAGGCTTGTTTTGTTGCTTATCATGTGGTCCATTCACATGGGAAGAATGTATTTCCTGTCATTGTTGCTTATATCATTCTGTATATGTGAGCTGGGTATAATTAGTCTACGGTTTACTTTTATCTGTACTTGACAAAGACCAATATTTTCACTTGTGCATAGAACTAAAAATCTCTTGTTACTTTAGGACATTGCTCTGACAATTCCTCTGTCAGTCTCCTACATCATCAATATTCTCCTTTGATTAGTTCATGTCCAATTGTTTCCAGTATAATTGAGTTTCTTAAGAAAACAAAAACAACAAAACCTTTCTGGAGCCCTCCTCTTGCTAAGCCTTCAATTTCCTCCTCCCCTTATAGGAAAACTTCTCAAAAGAGCTTTCTGTACTCACTCTACCCAATTCTCCTGCTCTTGTTTCTTTAAGATCAATCTAGTCAAACCCTTACTCCCAGACCCTCACATTATCTATTCTTAAAGACTCATCAAGGTTCTCTACCTTAAGTTCATTGTTTAATTCTCCATCCTTCCATTAACTGACTTATCAGCAACATTAACCCATTCATTACTTGCTGAAATGCTTTCTTTTATCATCTTTCAGCAGCATATTTATTTTGGAATTACTCCCACCTCACAGACAACTATTTCTCTCTCTCCTATGGTCATCTTCATCATCTCCCCGACCTCTAACACCAGAGGGCTTCTCGGATCAGCACTCAGTCTGCCACTCCAGCTACTATCACTGCTTTGCAATAGCAGCCAGACTCATGGTTGATAGACTATCAACACCCTCAGTTCTCCCAAATTTATCTCTCCATAGAGATACTCTCCCTTGAATTTCAAAGTGTATATTCAACTGCCCACATGACATCCTGAGGTAGATGCCTCACAGGCATCCAAAAAAGCATTTTGAAGAGCAAAATCCTGATATTAATCCACAGATATGACATGCACACAATTTGTCCCATCCTTGATGGTAAGTCCTATTTTTCTGGTGCTGAGCAGTTTTCTGTCACTAAGTTCCACCCTTGATTCCCTTCTTTCTCTTATAACTTCTGTCCAGTCTTCCAGAAAACCCTGTTGCCTGCACCATCAAAATATATCCATAACCCAGCCAAATCTTATCATCCTCACCTTTGCCAACTTTATTGAACACACTAAAAATTTAGAGTTATTCAAAAGCCACCTTATCAGGGCTACCCTCTGGTCTGTTCTTGTAGTTAGTAGGATGTCAATATAATCTGTCTGACATCACCTCTTTGATATTATCTTTAATATTTGTCCCATCTCTTATCTGTTTCGACCATGTTGGTCTTTTTATGATCTGATTATTCATTCAGTTGTTTTTCTGTTTCAGAATTGTTTTATTGTTACCTGTTAGGATTTTGATTTGCAGATTTTATTTGAAGGAAAAATTCTTCCATATCTCTCTCTCTACTGATGTGCTCACTCTTCCTTCTGTACCAATTTCACAACTATCACCAGTTCTCTAGTTTTGAATTCAGATTACTGACTCATTCTGCTGAGTGACATTGAGAATATCAAAAAAATAGTCATAAAGTCAACAGTGAGATTGGTTCAGTTCTTCTTTGGAGATTTTTTTTTTAATTCTGCATATTCTATGACTAGTCATGAGCCCAGTCATGTCCATAACCCTACATTCACCCACTTTTCTCAAATAAAGAAGTTCCACTTTTGCCCTTGGATTCAAGCACTTAATCTTCTTCTAGGAAATTCAATCCTTATTAACTGAAAGAGTAAGTGTCTTTTCACCTATGGACTTAAATCAATAGAGCTCCTTGGCTCCAACCCACCTAACACTTCATGTTTCAGTTCTTTTGTGGTGTATGAAAAACTTTATCCTTTTTTGAGCTCAGTTATGTCTTCATGCATTTTACTTATTTTTCATGGGTTTGAAGTGAATGAAGTTAAGATGGTGAAGAGTGACGTTACTATGCCATCTTGTCATAAGTTCATTCTCAAATAAGATATCTGGAAAATATAGATTAAGAAAATTAATATAGAAAGAGTTAAAATGTAAAATAAGTTGATGAACACATGAAAATACTGAAGTTCTTAAAAAAAATGTTTTTAAGTGAATACTAACATGGAACATCATCCACAACTATTAAATTGTGGATGAAATCTCAAGAGATCTACTAGATAATGGGCAAAATTGCACACCACTGCCATTTAGTGTCTTTGTATTTTATCACAATGCAATTAAAAATGAAGAATATTAATGCAACCCGAAGTCTGCCAATGTGAAGAAAAATGTACATTGCATCTACTGTGTGAATAGGGATAAGTGTTTATGAAAGTCTAAAAGGAGAGAATAAAGTCTGTGTATATTGATCGCAATCACAACTGATCACAGAGGTATTTCAGAATGTTCTGTGTAAAATGTAGAGAACAGAAATTATTGTACAGGAAACATTCAGTGACTGTAAAGTAAAATACATCTAATTGTTTGAATTTTATAATATCTTAGCTATATTTACAAGTATGTTTTTATACCCAATATATGAACTATGTTTTCATGGTTAATATTGGAATCAGGCACTAAGATATCATTAAGTTGATAGAGATGCTTTCGTTTGTAACTTTAAAAGAAGAAATCTGGAAGTTCTTAGCAAATGTGTGTGTGTAGACATGCCCAAAGTATGTGACTGTGGTGAACATGAAGAGTGGAGAGAACTGGATGGCGTACACCAGGCTTAACAAGGTCAGGAATTAGTCATCTTCTTTTCTATAGTCTTGGTCTTTAAGGATTTGCAGCTCCCGGGGATCAGAATGACACTAAAAATATTTGTTTAATGAGGAGCTTTGGATATTAATCTCTCAGGGATATAGAGACTGTAAAGAGTCAGCCTGTGACAACCTCACTCAACAGCCCTTACCTGGTCAGGAAGAAGCACACCTGAGGCTCCACCCAAAGATGACCTTACTTGGCGAGGAGCCCACTGCCTCACTTGGTGTTTCTTCTCTTCTTAAAGACATATCTTCTGTCTTCAGTATCCTGGTGCCGTATCAAGCATCATTCCACAGAGATGCCAGTCAGGTAACTAAAGTCCCTTAGTTAATGCTTTACTAATACAGACAGTTGTTTTACTACAAAGTCATCTGTGGGAAGAAATGAGGAGAGCACATGCATGAAACGATCAGAACCAAGAGTCCATGGGACTGCAGCCTAACTGTCTTCTTGTTGCCAAGTTTCCATATATGTATATACTAAATTCAGCCAGTTCTCAATCTGCTTGTCTCCTAATTTCTCTTAAAAATGACAGAACCTGTTTTGCTTCTGAACGTAAATATGCCCTGTATCAGAAAGAATGACTGTTATAAATGTTTCTGACATTTACTTGACTTTTTGTGTGATCCTAGGGAATGAGTTTGTTCAACTATTCCTTTCATTTCTGTTCCTTGTTCTTGATATACTGTTGTACAGATATATTTTGTATTTTCCCTGTAGCTGGGCTGTGAGGATGCTGTGGAGAAAGTGGAGACACAGCGAGACTTAGCTGGTTGCCTTCCTAGTACACCTGTTTCTCTTTGTGAAAGTTCCATATATTTTACATAAGAACAGCAGACACAGTATAATAAATAAAAACCATATGACCATCCCTCAACTCATTCCAGAATTAACAAATGTTGATATTCTGTAATAACACCTTCAAGTCTTTTTTATAAAGTAACCAATTAATATGCATATAGAAGGCACCTCTTTGTGTCCCCCTCAGTTCTTGTTCTACCCATCCTAGAAACAACATTATCTACAATCTGACGATATCCCCCATGCATGGCTTTATATTGTGTGTGTATTCATAAACATCTATAGGGTTAAAAGCATTAACCATAACACCTATCATTTTGGGAATGGAGCAATAAATCCTGATGTAACAATGTAGTGGAATACTCTCTGCTAATTAAAATCAATGAATTAAGACTAAATACATCAACATTAATAAAAATATAAATTACATAATGTTGTCAATTGTGAGTGACATGTAAGTAAGTTTTGGTTTATATAAAGCATTCATAATGCAAAAGAATGCATTTGTTTGTGGAACAATAATACTAATTCCAGAGAAAGCTGCAGCCTAATAACATATACAAAGTTCCTGGGGAAGGAGAATAATCAAGACTGTGCAAATATGTGATGTGGGTGCTTTACATATAGCTGTATTTTTCATTGAAGTAAAGACAACTTCAATGAGAACAATGAAATGTATGAAATGTATAAATTTGACTGATGGGTACCAGGCTCTTCATTCTTATCTCTGTACTTTTATTTCACTTGAAAAATTCATAATAAAAATAGACAACTCTATGTAGGACCAAAAAAATATTTTAAATTTTCTCCTTCTGTGAACTTTTTGTTATACAAAATCTTTTTAATTAGGCTTTCATTATTTGTGTTGATTCATATGTCTGACTCTTTTTGTTATTTAATTAGTTTAATTACTATGTTTCATAATAGGTCCATGTCAAATGAATATTGATATCATTGATGTCTCTTTCATTCCTTTTCTACAGGGTAAATATTCCCAGCTGGAGTTTTTGTTCAGAAACTCTTCCCTGAAATTTCCAGTTATTATCTAGAGATATTTTCTTTTTCTATTTTCTTTCCTCAACTTGCCCCAACCTGTTACTTTCTTCTGAGGAGTGAAACTTGCCAGGAACTGTTGTTCATTGCAGAAAAAAGAAAACACAACAGTAAATGTCAGTACAAGGGTGCTGCGACATGCTGAGTGCTATGTCCCATGCTTTTGCTCCATTCGTTTCTCATCATTGTAACATCCGCATAAGTTTTTATGACAGTTCCCCTTATACAAATGAGGACATCAGAATTTTTAAGTTAGAAAAACAATTGTTCAAAAACAACTGAACAATTGTCCTCATTAACAAAGCAAGTCCTGGTCTGGATTAAATTCAGAGTGTTTGATTCTCAGTAATACACCAAATGATAAAGACTGTCATGGCCACTTGTTTTTCCCCCTTGAGAGGGAGGACCACTGATTTACAGAGATAATCCTGTTAGGACACTTGATTATCTTACAAGTAACATGTAAGACTCCCTTCTCTTGTAGCTCTCTGTCTTTCAAGGAGCAAACATTGAAGCTATTTTCATCTGTTTTCTTAGGAGCCTATGCATTTTATTTTTTCTTTCATTTAGTTTTTTTTTTTTTTTTAATGATATGCCATCTTTCACCTTAGGGAAAGAGACTTTCTTAGGATGAGACAGAGAATATCATTGACATAGTTTTCCAGCTTGTCTTTGAATCCATTGCTAATGCAGTTGAGTCACATTTCCGTGGGAGAGTCTTATCAACTTCAAGCTTACGGGCAAGTGTCTCTAATTTTGCTCAGGTGTAGAGCGTATACTTGAATGGATGCCATGAACCTTCCACACAATACTTCACAGGTAGAGGTGGACATACCTTGTAGGGAAGTAAAAAGATTTTAGGCATTGTTCAGGATGAAATATTACAATTTTAAAGGGGAATTATGAAATCTGAGTGATGGTTTAGGAATTCTAATTTTGTACTATCTAGAGGCAGTAACAGAGATTAGTCAAGTGAGTCAGTTCAGCAGTCAGATGATTTGATCTCAGACCTAGTCCTTGCCAAGAACTCACCTTGTACATCATGTCCATGACCTAATCTCACCTTACCTAAATGTCCCCATGGATAAATGGAGTGATCATATGACCTAACTCATCTGTAATTTCACAAGCTTGTCAGATGACTCTGAGGCATGCTAAATTAGGGATGAAACTCTACAATGGAGATTTATAACTTCATTCTTGTCTTTCTGTTTGCTTGAAGGCAAGTAATACTTCCAAAGGTAACATCATATCTTATTCTTTGTTTCAGTCTTAGCATGTGGCACAAAGTGAAAAGGAGAGCTGGTGATCAACAAAAATAATGGCCAATAAAGAAAGTAGGGTGAAAGGAAAAGTAAAAGATGATGATGGGGAAGAAATTAACAAAGGGAATGATTTGAATATTCTCTTGGGTTCACAATCTGGAGTTATTCTTTATTTTGAGCACTATCTCTCAAACTTTATCGTATACCAAATTCACCTGGAGGTTTTGTTAATACTTAGATTGCTGGTTCCTACCTCGTGTTTATCAACGGTAAGTCTGGAGTGGTACCACAGTTATTCATTTCTAATAAGTTCCCAGGTTCTGTTGCTTATCCAGGGCAATTCATTTCATGGTCTTTTCACCCCATCTTTTCCATCAGATTCATCAATGTGGCGTCCAGAAATCACACACATGCTCCAGAATTCCTTCTCTTGGGATTGACAGATGATCCAGAACTGCAGCCCCTCATTTTCTATCTTTTCCTGTCCATGTACCTGGTCACCATCCTGGGAAATCTGCTCGTCATCATGGCTGTCATCTCTGACTCCCACCTCCACACCCCCATGTATTTCTTTCTCTCCAATCTGTCCTTTACTGACATCTGTATAAGCACAACCATGATCCCAAAGATGCTGCTGAACATACAAGCACAGAATCAAGGCATCACTTATACAGGCTGCCTCACCCAGATTGTCTTTGCCCTGGTTTTTGCTGTATTTGAGAATTTTCTCCTTGCAGCAATGGCCTACGACCGCTATGTGGCTATTTGTCACCCACTCATTTATATGGTCATCATGAATCCCAGAATCTGTGTCCTGCAGATTCTTCTCTCTCTGTCTCTTAGCATTGTGGTTGCCTTGCTCCATGGCTTGATGGTGTTACAACTCTCCTTCTGCAAGGTTCTGGAAATCCCTCACTTCTTCTGTGAACTTGCACAGGTCCTCAAGTTTGCCTGTTCTGATACCTTCATCAATAACATCCTGATATATTTTACAACTAGCTTATTTGGTATTCCTATGTGTGGAATTATTTTCTCTTATACTAGGATAGTCTATTCCATTTGGAGAATGCCATCAGTGGGTGGCAAGTATAAAGCTTTTTCCCCCTGTGGGTCTCACCTCTCAGTTGTGTCTTTATTCTATGGGACAGGTTTGGGTGTGTACATTAGTTCTGCTCTTACTAACTCTTCCAGAAACACTGCAGTGGCTTCAATGATGTACACAGTCATCCCTCAAGTTCTGAACCCATTCATCTATAGCCTGAGAAACAGGGACATGAAGGGAGCCTTCAGAAAACTCATCAGTAGGTCACTTTCTCTTCTGTGATTCTGTCATCTGCTTCAGACTGCGGTTTCTAAAATGGGTCAAAGTATCAGAAATACTGGGTGAGCCAGAATGTTTTATTCTTGCATCATGAACTTTTTTAAAATTACTAAATAATATAACCTGTAAATGAATTTTAACTTGGGGTTGAAAACTAACTTGCTATTTTTATACCTCTGTGGTGTTTCAAAAATGAGTTAATTTACTAAGTTCAGTGTCTTTGGTGGGCTCCTTAGAAGCTAACTTGAGGCAAGTGTTATACTGGTGTTTTTGGGACATCAGAAGAAGGAATGTGGGAGAAGATGGATAGGTCTGGGGTAGGATCCAATAAGTCTGTGGTCATAGCAGAGACTTGATTGTGTCTGTTCTCTGTGTTAGCACCATGTGAATTGCACTCCAGAGACGAACCTATTGTGAGACATGGGAGAAGCTGTTCTTTAATACTCCAATTCAGTAAATCCTGGGACCTGTCACTGGTCAACCGTATCTGTGCCAGGCAACATCAGCGTCCACTATACTCAATTTTATCATTTCTAAACTTTCTGTAATCTGATCATCAGTTCTTGGAGATGATTATGAGATCTTTGATCTTGATAAGTGAGAAAGCCATTGTTTCTGCTAAGAGAAAGTAAGCCTGACTCTAATATGTCAAATCAACGAAGATAGTTATCTGTCATTACAAGGACTTCAGAGATAGGGAATGTAGAGTAAAATTCATTTCCTCCTCAATGTGGTGTCTGTTTCCTGGGGTCAGTTCCCCTCGTAGACCCAGATGGCTACAGCATATGCAGGTATCTTAGCTAGACATAATGACCAGAGAAAGAAATTCGACTCTTCTTCCCTAGGTCTATTGATACTTAACATTGAATGGAGTCATCCAAAATATATATCTTTCAATCGCATCACCATGAATAGGATCATTGGTAATCTGCTGGCATCTTATTTGGTTAGAAATCTTCTTATTGGCCTATTTTTGTATGAATATAACTGAGTTTTTGCATTTCTCTTTAGTCATCTGATCTTGTGTTTCTTACTCATCTCTGGTGGAATCCACACGGAGATCATAATTGAATAAAATTAATTGTATCATTGATCTCAGAGCATTGGCTGCACTCAGGGTTATAATGTAAAAATTTTTAAGGTGTCTTTATGAGGAAAGTTATTCTGTGGAGAACTACTTTACTGTGAGAAGGAGATGTTGAGTACGAAACAAGAGAAGAGAAAGGAAAGTTAGCAAAATTAGGTAGAGAATATTTCTCATAATCACAAAAATTGAAAGAATGGTCTCTATGGATGTGAGGTGAAAACAGTGCAGCTCTCAAAGGAGGATGAAAAAGTTGCTGGAGAGCCTTCTGTTCTGGTTGTCATTGGAGGTTGAGGGGGTTGTTTTATTTTCAGCTCTACATGTGGGATACAGTTCCTGCCTGGGAACCATGGTACCTCCTAGTTCAGAGCTTCCTGCGTTGATTTTAACAGAACATCTGTAGAGTTGAATCACCTGGGGCCTTTGTACATACAATTTGTTTCCAAACATCACTCAAAAACTGCTGACTTTGAATCTCTGTGGAGACATGAGGAATGAGCATTTACAATATGCACTCTGCAGATTCTGATGACCTGTGAAGACTGAGATCCATGACTTCAATATTAAAAGAATATGAGAGAATGTATTAAGAATTACCAATATGAGAAGCTTTTCCTCAATTTTAATTTTTAATATAACGTATAGTAAGTAGTGCATAAAATCTACCTGTATTTCTGAAAGAATAGTAACATGATAAAAACGTATATATATGTCTGGGGGTAAAAATAGAGCAATGCCATCATTTTAGAATCCACCTGAAGCCTCTGCCACTCACATCACTCTGTCACCTCAAGTGGGAAACACTATCCTGTGTTCTGTACTTACCATTTTCCTTGAAGATCTTCCTTTATGTCTAATTCTAAGAGATTTCTAGTATTTGATCATATTTGTCCTATGAAACAGGCAGTAGGTTTACACATCCTTGGCTTATCACCCCTGAGTATATTCCTGTCTGATTTATAAATTTGTCTGTTTTCTAACTTGTTAAATCTTAGTGTATGAATTTTTGTCCTGATTGTTTTCCTCTATATTGCAATTTGGGATTCAATCACATTGTTGGTGGAAGCAGTAACTAATTCATTTCCAATACTCTGGACTTTTTACATTGTTTGTGGTTTCTTTTCAAAATAGATGTCCGTGCTGATACTGATAGTAAATTTTTTTCTTATAAAGAGGTTTCTGTGTTATGAATAAACCTGTTTAAATACTCCCTTATATGTCTTCTGGTGGAAATAAGAGAGTGTTTTATAATTGGGATGAAAATATTTGGACATGTTTGGTATAAGAGAGTATCTTTTCTCTTTGTGTAGTTCCAAAGAGTTTTCCTAAGTCATCAAACAAATTTACATATACATTAGAAATTCCTGGCGATCCATATCACGAGCAAGATATTTTGAAGTATATTAGTAATCTTATGGATGTAAATTGATTTCATTAATTGATATGTCTCTTATTATTATAGGGTTGATAGTATTTTCAGTTATTTTTTGCTCTGCTAAATATCTGTTTCTGATACTTCTATTGAGCTCTTTATCTTTTTTTATTGATTCATATGACTTATTTATACTATCAGAGTATTATTCTTAGTCAGTGATAAGCACTGAAAATTTTAAAACGTGTGTCTTGTTTTTGGATGTCTTTTATTTATATATATATATATATATATATTTTTTTTTTTTTTTTGACGAACACTAGTGCTTAGTTTTAATGTTGTTGTAGGTCTTGTTAATAAAACCGACAGTTACTTAAATCTGAAGGGTTTACTGTTTGGGCTTTTGCATCTGAAAGAATACCGTTCCTGGGATTTAGTTTTGCCTTTGAGGTGAGGCCAGAATCGGGATTCATTTTTATGTCCCTGCATAAACTGCCCATTTCTGTGTTGCTCTCTTTCTGGTCTCTATCTTCTCATCAATAGGCCTTGTATTTACCTCTGTATCAATATAAGAGAGCTTGATTATTGTAGCACACCCGTCAGCTAAAAATAGGTTTATTGTTATATTAAGGAAGCCCAATATCTGTCAATAACAATCACAAGTTCTATTATAATATACTTTGACTGCTTCACTGATACCTCACTTTACTGTAACAAAATGGATAAACAGTCACCATAATTTCAACAAATTGTCCATAATGTGGGGAAAAAAGATCAAATCCAGGACTTTAAGATTGGGACAAGTTGATAGTGATGTTCTATAAAGGCATTAAAATGCTAGCTACATGGTTAGTCTTATACTTTGTTGTGTGTGGTAAAATACATATAACATAAAATTTGCAATTTTTGTGTTTTACTTCTGGGCAAAGTTACATTCACAGTGTTGGGTAACCATAGCCTCTATATGTTTTCACAACTTTTTCGTGAAGCAAACAGAAATCTGAAGCTATTCAGAAATAACTCCTCCTTCTAATGCCACACATCCAGTCTATGGCAAGGGTTAGTCTACTTTCCCTCTCTATGATTTATCATACTCTAAATATTTCAGATAGGTGGAATCATAAAATTTATGTTCTTTTATGTCTGGCTTATTTCATTTAGCATAATGTTTTCAAAGTTCATCCATGTTTTAACATGTTTCAAAACTTCATTCCCTTGTATGGCTAAAAATATTCCGTTCTCTATATACATATATCACATTCAATTTTTGAATATTTTGTTGAGGACTTTGCATTCATATTTATCAGGGATATTGCTTTGTAATTTTCTTTTCTTGTGATGTCTTTGCATGGTTTTGTTGTCAGAGTAATGCTGGCTTCATGTGATGGTTTAGGAAGTATTGCCACCTCTTGAAATTTTTGGAAGAATTTGACAAATATTGGTGTTAATTCTTCTTTAAATGTTTTGTAGAATTCACCAGTGAAACCACGTCATCATTGGTTTCCCTGTGTTGGGATGTTTTTGATTACTGGTTAAATCTCCTTGCTCATCATTGGTCTGTTCAGATTTTCTGTTTCCTCAAAATTCAGTGTTGGTTTCTTGTATGTTTGTAGGAATTTATCTGTTTCTTCTAGGTTATGCAATTCGTTGGCATGTAATTGTTCATAGTAGTCTCTTATGATCCCTCATGTTTCTGTTGTATCATTTGTAATATCTCCTCTTTCATTTCTGATTTTATTTGAGTTTTCTCTCTTTTTTCTCTTAGTCTAGCTAAGGATTAGTTAATTTTGTTTATCTTTTCAAAAAAACAGCACTTAGTGTTGTTGATATTTTCTATTGTTTTTTGGTCTCTATTTCATTTATATGTTATTATAAACTAATGTTGCCACAATAAATCAAAAAAAAAAAGTTACTTTTGCCAGGCGAAAAAATTTCTGAAGATTGGTTTTACAGCAAAGAGAACTGCTTAACATTAATGAACTATATATTTAAAATGGTTAAGATGGTAAATTTGATGTTTATGTAAATATTTGAATCCATAGTCCCCTAAAGTGAAGGACACTGAACATTGAAACTGTTGTGATGAAAGTACACAAGATGATTGTGAAAACCTAAAAAAGGAAGTAATAAATCTGTCTGAATGGGTCAGACACAGAATTGTCACATAGAATAGATTAGAATGTATTGTATAAAATACACACAGTGAAGATTAAGGTTCAGGAAAGATTTAATGACTTGAGAGTGTTTGCATTTTTACAAGAACAGCTATATTTTTAAATATATTATTTATATAATTCATAGCATATAGTGTGTGTATATATATACACATATGTGATATTGATTATATATATCACACACACACACAAACTTACACACACACACACACAGACTATATTTTCACACCTCAAGAGAGTATCAGAATTCCAGATGTCACTGATTAGATAACAATGTCTTTGTTCATAACTAAGAAAAGAAGACTAGAATCCAATTAGAAAGGCACAGCGTGTCCACATTTGCCAACAATTTGGAATGGAGAGGAGAAGACAC